TCTCCTTTGTGGGAGGGAAAATGTTTCTAACAAAGGGATTTTCAATGAAACTGGATGTCTCTGGGTAGATCTTCCCATGCAGGTCAAAAATGGCATTTTCTTTCTTTCATTTTCAAGGACCCATTCTACTCCTAGTACAATGTTGTTCAACCCTGTCTTGTGTACTCGAGTATTCCCACAGCATATGAGAGACACTCTTTCCAAAAGAAAAGTCTTCAGAATAAAGCTTAAAACCAAACCACAATAATACATACCCCCAGGAATGTATTTGGTGGCAGACATGAAAAGACTATTACGGAAAACTGATGAAAAAAACTGACAAGAGAAATTCTAAAATACATCTGAACACCCAAGCAGAGTCCAAAATGTTTATCAAAATTACCCACATTATTTTACTCTATATTAGAGTAAAACTTTAGTGTGGAGTGCTGTTGGATAAAGCACTGGACCACAAGGTTGATTTGAACCACAAGGTCAAACTCACCAGTTGCTCCTTAGAAATTCTATACTGAGTTGCTATGAGACAGAACCGACTCAATAGCACTTAATAAGAAGAAGTAGAACCAAAATTATAAAATCTTAATGAATGTGAAACTGCTTAAAGAATTGTCTACTGTGTGGGAGTCCTAGTATGGCACTGTAGGCACTCACTATGTGGCACGCACTCACAAGGTCAGTTTGAAACACAGTATCAATGGTTCAAACTCACCAGTTGCTCCTCAGAATCCCTATACTGTGTCGCTATGAGTCAGAACCAACACAATGGCACTTAACAACAAGAAAAACAACTCCTCACTTGCAAGGAGCTCTGGTAACACAGAGTGGCTTATGAGTTGGGCTGTTAACCATAGGTCAGCAGTTTACATCTATCAGTCTCTGTATGGGCGAAAGATGAGGTTTTCTGCTCCCATAAAGATTTACAGCCTCAGAAACCCTATACAGGTCTCTATGAGTCGGAACCAACTCAACAGCACATAACCATCACTATCACTCCTTCCTTATAGACTATCTCGTGATCTGTCATTTTGCATTTACAACAATAGTAAAAAATCGGCTATCTTTGGCACACTAATGCCATGTGTGTGGTAGTTATGAATGCTGGTTATAATGGTTAAGGTTAAGTGTCAAATTTGCTGGGCCATGATTTCAGTGCTCTGGCGGTTATGTATACCTACTCCTCACTCCTCACAAGGAGTCCTGGTATGGCGCTGCACCATAAGATCAGTTTGAGCCGCAAAGCTGGCAGTTCTCCTCAGGAAACTCTATACAAGGTTGTTATGAGTTGAAACTAACTTGATTGCACTTAACAACAACTACTCATTTATCGACCATCATGTTCTCCAACAGATTTCATTCACAATTTTGAAAAATCTCAGGTGCTGATTCCAATGGTCCAGATCCACACAGGTCCTGGGAGCCCTCTACAGGCCATTGCAAACAATATACGGAAGGCCCCAGTGATGAACAAGCCACATGAGGGATAGTGACCAACTAGCCTGGGGGACACCATTTTCCGTTCATCTGTGATGTCTCAGTCCAGCCATGGAGGGTGTAGGAAAAAACAAAGTCATGGACAGGCAGGGGAAAGACAAGAGAGGGCCTGAAGGAGCCAGAGATATTGGTGAGGGATGGCTGGAAGGAGAGAAGAGGAGGAAAGTGGGCCACATGGGAATGTAAGGTCAGGACAGATGGAGGACTAGTGGGATCCCCATTCAGGTTACACACTAGGAGATGGTGGATAATATTCAACCAACACCAACACCACACCTGCAGACTTCACAGTGATGGAAAAAGCATGGTAGGGAAGAGAAACCTGCTTCACCACATGCAGTCCAAGACATGCTTGGGGGCACCTGGTGAGCAGTGAGCACCACGGGTGGAAGAGACAGGGCACAACTGTCGATTCCTGCATAAAACCAACTTTGCAGAATGACCTGGTCTTTGCAACCAAACATGTCAATAAGTGAAGAGTAGGTATAATGATGTACTTAAACGCAGTTACATAATAATGTAATTTAGCAGTTATGTAATGATGTAGTCATTTTCCATTTTGTGATTGGATGTAATTATCATCCTTTTCACATAACAACCAGGTCTTGGTAACCTAGCCATGTCGATAAACGAGGAATAAAGGTATTTAAACATCTAAACATTTTCCTTAACCACTATCAGAAGACTAGGATTTATTCCCTTTCAGAAATAACAGTTCAACAATGAAAATTGAGATCTGTCCCCATATGAAAATGAAATGATACTTTCCTGCTTTTTCTTCTTGGATATTATATCTAATAGCATTAATAGTTGCTATTTATTGAATGTCTAATGAGTGTTGTCTTAGTTATATAGTGTTCCAATAACAGAAATACCACAAATGGATTACTTTAACAAATAGAATTTTTTTTTTTAATCTCACAGTTTAGGAGGCTAACATCCAAATTCAGGGCACCAGCTTTAGAGAAAGGCTTTTGCGTCTCTTAGCTCAGGGGGAAAGTCCTTGTCTCCTGGTTCTGCTGCTGCAGTTTCTCTGATGCAGCTTCTTACCATCTTAACTCTCTCTTTCCATGTGAACCCTTAGCAGAATTGCTCTTGACACCCATAATTCTACTAACAGTCTCTTCAAGGCAATGTAGGCTTTTAGGATTAAGCACATTAAAACTCTTCCAGCCTCTACTCCAAAACTGCTTCCACATGTTAGGTATCTATTAGAGCATCACCCCACTCCTGGTACCAAATTCTGCCTTAGTCATCTAATACTACTGTAACAGAAATACCGCAAATCAGTGGCTTTAGCAAACAGAAATTTATTCTCTTACAGTTTAGGAGGCTAGAAATTCAAAATCCAGGGTGTAGTTCTAAAGGAAGGTTCTTTCTTTCTGATGGTTTTGGAGAAAGGTTCTTGTCTCCTTTTAACATCTGTGGACCCAATTTTCCCTGGAGATTTTCTTGTGTCATGGCCTGGGTCTAGGAAGCTTTGCATAGGTCCAAAGGACATGTTTCACTATTGGCTCTTCTTTTGGGGTGTTACTGAGGTCTGTATCTGTGTGCTAACTTCTTCCTCTTTTCATATCTTATACAATAAAAGGTGATACAGGCTCACTTCAGGGAAACACAGGGCTGTGACCTGAGTAAGGGTGGTGACTTGAGGAAGGATGATGAATCCCACTGTAATCTTGCCTCATCAACATAGCAAGCACAACCTTATCCTCTTTATCTTAAGCTATTACTGCTTCATTAACCAGTCATTAACAACATAGCACAAGATGGAAAACACAGTACCCCATGGGAATCAGGGCCTAATCGAGTTGACATATATTTTAGGGCAACACAATTCAATCCATGACTTGCGTTACATACTAAATTTAACTTTATAACTATCTTGGGAAATAAGTTTCATTATCCCAAGAGAGAAAATTGAAGCTTGAAGCAATTAAGGAACCTGCCCAAGATCACCCAATTATTGGTGAGTTTAGAGTAAGCGCTAGGACTCAAACTCAGACTTTAGCACAAGCCTATACTTTCTCTCCAGGGAAATAAGGCTTCACACTCACCTGGCATGAAGGACAAAGTGGTCGGGCCCCTGTACACATCACCTCTTCCTGACTCCTATCCCAAACCTACACAGTCAATTTCTTGTGGGGAAAGAACCACTGATGCAGATATACTTTGATTTTATCTTGTTTTTATGACAGTATTAATTCTCTGTGCTGGTATAGCATTAACATTTATGCAATAAATGTAATAAGTTGTTGTGGAATCCTATCCACTATTTATTATGTGCCCTTTTATGGTTTTCTATTTATAATGTGCCCTTAGATGGAATGTGCCCTTATATTGTTTTTTAAAAGATAATCGTTAACATTATAGGAATTTATGCTTCCATTTCTAATCTCATTAGACATCAGACAGGCTTCCAGTTAATAGTGCTTGGGTGGTTTGGGTGTGGCAATGTAGGATAAGCGCTGGACTGATAAGCACTGGACTGAGAACCAAAAGGTCAGTCAGAGGTTCAAACCCACCAACCGCTACTCAGAAACCTTATATAGAGTTACTATAAGTCAGAAACAACTCAACAGCTCTTAACAATGGGTTATGGATAATTTTGGTTTATTTCCTTTACTTCTTGGGTTTATTGAGCAAGTATTACTTTCACTTAGAGACCAAATATAATAAATGCTTAGTCTACTGAAAACAATTTAAGTGTCACACACACAAAATTTTTTTTTTTCCCCCGCAGTACTGAAAAAGAGGAGTCCTGGTGTGTCACTGTAGGTTAATGCACTGGACTGCAAAGTGGGTTAAAACTCAAGGTCAGAGGTTCAAGTTCATCAGGTGCTCCTAGGAAACCCTATACAGTGTCACTATGGGTCAGAACTGGCAGAAGGTACTTAACAACAACACTATTGAAAAAGTAGACATTAATTGAGCCAGTTTAATTCTGGTCCAGGTTAGAGTTCTTGTATAATACAACTGACTTCCACTTTCGCTGTTTTTTCTTTTTATCCTGTTAATTTAAAAATTAGGACATAGTTCATAAAACTGAATATTTAACAATTATGTAGCTTTTTCCTTCTGTCAAATCTAATTAGTAAAATCCTCTGCATTAAATAAATACGGCTTTGCATCCTTAAATAACTAGGCTTGTCTCCGCTTCTAGGGCACATGACTTACACTTCCTATCCTCCTAAGGAACCATGTGTGGCCACATGAGGCACTTCTAGGACTGACCCATGAAACCCTTCTATATGAGGAACTCCATGCTTTTCCCTTGCTGACTTGGAGTCACCTGTTTACAATGACAGAGCTAAAAAACAGAAGGAACCTGGGTCTCTGAATTTCTTCTTAGAGTACCCAGAAGTACCGTTTTGGACTTTATATGAGTGCAGATTAGAGGTGCATATAAGACCCTGCAAGTTTGAAATTTCTCAGTTACCCTACCTAACACATGGCTTTATTAAGATATTACAAATATTAGAAGATAAATTCAATGCTGTTTAGCTTACCTTTTTCAAAGACCCCTTCTGCTTCCAGGACAGGAATAGAGACGTTTGATGCCCTCTTCAATACCTTGGCCTTCACAGTGACCTGTGGGGGACTGTGATCCAGAAGCTCCACCCCAATAGTCACATTTCTTCCTGGCCTGATGATCCCAGGGGCTGTCACCAGAAACTGAGGCCTAAATTGTTTCCAATAAGGGAAAAGCAAAGTTTATTATCTTCATACTTCCACTCTTGTCACCATCCAATTTCAAGGAGCACTCCTTATGCTGTGTTCACTGCAACTGTTCCAATTAGCATTGCCCCACTGTTGCATTTAAGGAGCTCTGGTAGCGTAGTGGTTACGAATCGGGCTGCGAACCTTAAGGTCAGCAGTTCGAAACTACCAGCTGCTCCGCGGGAGAAAGATGAGGCTTTCTACTCCCGTAAGGATTTACACCCTCGGAAACCCTGTACAGGGTCGCTATGGGTCGGAACCGACTCGACGGCACTTAACAACAACAACAACTGTTGCATTTAGCAACAGCATTAAAATGCTATTGAAACAATGATAATTCCCATAAATTGAATGTAAATTCAGTCATCCACACACTAGTACTACTACTAGGGAAGGTCTGTGCTGTTATTTCCATTTTATAAACCACAATATAAATGACTTACATTAGGGCATGCAGAAGTACAAAGTAAAGCCTTTAAGCCTTCCTTTTACAGACCACCTCATCCCAGTGGAATTTTTTCTAAGTAATAAAACTAGGATTTTGCTTGTTTCTTTTCAAACCTTGCTGTATGGGTATTCACCCAAGAAAACTGATTGAAATATACTGTCTGATAGAATATTACAATGGTGACATTACCAGGTGTTGTAGTTTTGGTTTTGTTTTTTTTTTTAAGTCACAAAACACTACTTTCTCTGCCCAAAATAAGGATTGGGGCTCAAATGAAAAACTCTGAAAGAGTGAGGCACTTTTCACTACAAACAGTTCCCAGATTGGGTAAGTTTCATTCCTAAATCTGCTTTTAAGTTGAATTTGTTCATAAATCTTAAGTTAGGTACCTTATGTCAGTCAAATGTTTATCTTAGTACAAATTTATAGTGTCCCTTTCTATGTGTAAAGAAAACAAACACTTCCTGACCCACTAAAACTTCATTAACATAATAATACAGTAATAATAATGCTTCTATTCGCATCACAAAGTACTACCCATTTGGTATTACAAATTGTACATACCTCGAATTTTTAATATAATAGGCTCTACAGAGGACTGGTTCCTAACTCTAGGTTTCTGCCTGCAATTCAGAGCTCTCCTTAGTTATCTTCCCACAATACTTGCACCTGAATAAGCTTGCAATGCTCCCTTAGATCTTCTCCTAAGGCTAAATTATCTTTAGTGGCCGGCAGGCATGTCAGTCCCTCGGCCACACTTGACAGTGTCAAAGTGCACCACCGTGCTTGGAAAAAATATAGATCATAAATCGTGGGAGAAGAAGGTAGGTTATATGGAACCAAAGAGCTGTGAAGCAAAAGACAGAGACAAAAGTGAACTAAATGACTCTCTTTAGAAAGTCATAACATCCGAGACGCTTGAACAGCTTCATGGGTGAAGTGTCCGTCCCACGGAAAAGACGCTGAAGCGACATGTGGCCCAGGCCAGTGGCCCTGAAGCTGCGCCGCCCGCTTCCAGACCCCTCCCTGATCCCGGGCCCAGGCAAGCAGAGGGGGCCGCTCTCTGCGCCCGCCCCGCGCGCCCGCGCTCCTACCCCGGGGCCGCGGCCAGTGCGGCGGTCCACAAGCAGAGAAGGTGCGCAGCGATCCGAAACTGCGGGCCCCGCATCTCGACAGTGTCTGCCCAGGCGACTGCCGGTTGCTGGGAAAATCCGCGGGCCCTGCGGGGTGTGGCTTTCCACCTCCTCCTTAATTTTTTTTCCTGACTTGAGTTTAGCAATCTGAAATGGGCGCGCCTGGAAGCAGAGTGAGAGATGTAAATTGAGACAAGGTTTCCAAGCTCCACCCCTCCCACTCTCATTACAAGGGCGCTTCTCGCTGCTCCAGCAAATATCGCAAACCCAGAGTGTCAAAAAAGCAGTCTCTAAAATGTGGTCAGCCCGACCTGGCCCCCGGTATACCTCCTCCCTGCGGAGAACAGAGAGTGCCCACTTCCCAGGCCCACCGGATTCCTTGGGCTGTTTACACTAGCATTCTACCAAAGATGCCCAGAGTGAATAAACAAGCCCATCCTTGTGAGGAGAAATTCATAGCAGCTATGTGAAGTGGAAAAAAATCGATCATTGTCCTCCAGATTATGAGTCAGAATTTTAGGAAAATGGCAAACACCACACACACCGGCCAAATGGATTTGTTTACTGGGCAGTTAAATGTATATGAATGGGGACAGAAGAAAAAAAAATTTTTTCCTTAAAAATTATTTGAAATATATTATTTTCCTCGCCCGTGTTTTCTCAGCTTAAAAAAAGAAAGAAAAGTAAAGGTTCTGGCACATGCAAAAATTAGGTGTTGTGTGGCGTTGTAGGATAAACACTGAACTGCTAACCACAATAACCGCAGAACCCACCAGCCACTCTCGGAAACCTGATACTGGGTCACTGTGAGTCAACAGACTCCACTGCACACTGCCCAAAATACTTGAAACTCTGAAAAACAATTTTCAGGGGAGATGCTTTTATCCTTTTGGCTGACTCCACACGCATTTGCTACAGAAAGTATTCTCTAGAACTGCAAAGTTAGAACAATGTGCATAAACACAATCAGGGTTGGGTAGCTCTCCTGTTGGAAGGAAGGCCTGGTGACCCCTGGTCCCCAATGCTATGTATCTCCAGGTCTTTACTGTGTTGGTTTGTCTGCAGCTCCTTTCACTGGCTCTTTGGCAACAGCCGTCATTTTCAAATGACTCAGGTTTCACCATGACTACACCATAAAAGCAGTAAACTGCCAGAAACTTGGAAAAAAAAACAGGCACATTCAGTCCCTAACAACATAAACTTCCTCATTCATGGAGAAAAGTTTTAGAATATGACGTTTTAATACGGGCATATCGCAAAAGGAAAATGTCAGCAAAAGAATGGCTTGCAACAAAGCTGTGAGCTAAATAAAGGGGAAAGTAGCACCTAGGCAAACTGTGGTTTTCCAAGTCCAGGAATTTGCTTTCCTTCCTTTCCTGTTCCACCCCTTTTCACCCTGCTCAACAGCTTACATTGGTCCCTTATGTCCTTTCCTAAGGGTAGACTATCTTTAGTGACCGACTTCCTGTCCATGCAGGACTGCAATTGGGAGAAAAGTGCCTTGAGTGAATTTTTAGGTACAGAACCCATCTCTAAACAGCTATTTCTGCTGATCTGGTCACCTCACATCTGTTGTTAAAAGACGAGACCCAGAGTCAAATATAGGTTATGTCAAGGTCTAAATTGTTGTTGTTAAGTGCTATCGAGTTGGTTCTGACACATAGCGAACCTGTATAGGGTTTCTAAGGTGTGGCTGATGGGTTTGAACTACTGACCTTGTGGTTAGCAGTCCAGTGCTTTCCTTAGAGTGCCACACCAAGACTCCAGTTCTAAATTAGTGATTCTCAAACTCTAAAGTATATGAGGATTCACATTAAAATACAGGTGCTGATTCAGCAGGTCTGAAGTGAGGCCGGACATTCAGCATATAATGGGCCACAAGAAGTCTAAAGGTAGAGACAAATTTGGGGAGTTTATGACAAAATTTGAGAAAAATTATAGCTATTGTCAAGCCTTCAGTTTATGGACGTGTATCAATAGATTTAGGTTTATTCTAACCAGCTACCATTGAATCAATTCTGACTCATCAAAAGTGACTTTATAGGTAAATAATGATGTATGCACAACCTTGGAACAACAGGGCTCTGGGATACAGAGATTGAGACATGGTTGGAATGGGGAAAAGGGGGGAATAAAGTTAAGATGCTTGACTGTCTTTTGAATCTTGGTTTTCCTTGCATTATATTATAAAATAGACACTGGAGGGATAGAGAAAGGAGTAGCCGGAAATCTTCCCCTTGGAAGGTTTTTAGTTTTTTTTTTTGCTTTTACTTGTTTGGATTCCTTAAATTGGGGCTACAATGTGCCCAGTGAAGGAGGCTTCCTGCGGAGCCTCTGCATTACATAAGACTATTGATGGAAGCCTACACCACATCCATCCAGATCTTCAGAGATAGGAAATTTCCACTTGAAAGGACAAGCAGACCAGTCTGGAGAGGCTAGAAGAACAGAAGATACTTCTTGAAAGAAAGACTGACAGGAAAAATGCAAAACAATAGAGGCAGACCAACTGTTACTACAAGAACAAGCAAGTTGCTTGCCCAGGAGACATCAAGGCAAGTGGTCAGGTCCCCTCAGTGGAAACCCCCTTCCAAGACTAAGACTCAAAGGGAATACACACTCTGATTGGTGACCACACTCGTCACCGATAAGGGGAAGTGAGGGAAAAACAACAACGAAGCTGCGAGCTAAGCCCTACAATGTTCAATAGACTCCTGTGAACCCAGGTGGAGACCTGTTGGCCAGTAGTGTGGCAAGACCTGGGGACTCTTGGGCCCAGAGTCAGTGACATAGCCACAGAGGACTAGAGTGGAAAGTGAAGCATCCAGCTGATAAAAAGAGGGGACATATGCACAAGAACACCCATACGTGCAGATAATACCCAATTGACCTGGTTTCAATGACTGGATGATCAGAGTTCAACCAGAAGAAGATAGAAGAGGGGAAAAAAAGAGTAATCTGATACAATTTGATGAATTTGACCTACAACTATTGATGCAGTAGCTCAAAAGAGGGAACAAATCTTTATAGCGAGGATCATTCCCACCCCCTCCATACACAGAGTAGACAGGGATGGGAAACTTGGACATTGGCTACCCAAAACGGGGGGGTTGGGAGGCTACAAAGGCAAAAAGTGAGTGGCTTACAAGCTTTCAAGAGGGAACCTAGATCCAGAGGGCATGGAGGAAGGTAGGCTCTCTACTGAGTAGTATCCAATCTGTCTAGGCGGAGCTGATGAAAGGAAATGAGGATAGGTGTCTTGTGATACAATAGTGAATAATTGTTATTAGAACTGATTGTGAGGGTTGGAAATGTACAGGTAGACATTTTATAGCAAGGAGGGGAGTGATTAACTTTTCAGTCTAGGAGTGGAGGTCCCTGGGACCATCAAGGGAGAAGAGCGGAGAGCGGGACCCTACCCAGAGAAGCAGTGACACCAGAGATGGAGGCAGAGATGATGACGTGGAGAGATGGAGCAGCTTGGGACCTGAGATCCAGAGAGAGAGAGTGACTGTGTGCTGACGACCAGGGGGCAGGCTTGTAGTGTATACCCTTTGGTTGGTTGATGATGCATGGAGGTGATTGTAACCATGGCAATGAAATGATACATGATAGAATGAATGTAAAACTAATGTTCTCCCATGTAAACTCACATAATTCACAATAAAACATTTTTTTAAAAGTTAAAAATTTAAAAAGCTAAAAAAAAAAGTGACCTTATAGGACACAGCAGACCTTCTCCTTAAAGTTTCCAAGACTGCACATCTTTATGGGAGCAGACAGCTTTCTTCTGAATAGCTGGTGGACTTGAACTGTAGACATTGCATTTAGCAGCCCAATACCACCACCAGGGTTCCTTTGGTATATTCTAAAGACAGGCAAACTTAAGAGAAAGTCTAAAAGATCAGTTGATAATGTTGCATTCCAAGGAGGCTTATAGAAGAGTTAGAATCACCTTGTGGCTATTACGTGCCCAACACAGAATACATATACAGAATACACCTTGTAGTAATTACATGCCAAATTCAGTAAAATTTCATGAAAAGATTCACAAAAATGTTCATTTCTGAGTTGTTTTTCCATATTAAGAAAAACTGAAAACAAGCTGAACATAGAATAAGATAGTGTGTTGAATAAATTATGGTACATCCATGTAGTAGAATACTGTAAAGTTATTTTAAATTTTGTGGTTGTATTAGCCTTGAAAACCCTGTACAGGGTCACTATGAGTCAGAATCGACTCCATGGCACATAACCACCACCACCACCTTTGTTGTGGTGATTAAGTGCCATTTGAGTCGGTTCTGACACACAGAGATCCTGTACAGTGCTTCCAAGTACCAGCTAGTGGGTTTGACCCACCAACCTTGTAGTTAGCAGTCCAGTGCTTATCCTACAGCACCACATCAGAACTTCATGGTTATATTGTTGTTGTTAAGTGCTGTCAAGTCAAGTCATAGCCACCCTTTTTTAGAGTTTCCAAAAAGCGAATGGTGACTTGAACCACCGACCTCGTGATTCAAACTAATCTTATGGTTGAGTGCTTATCCTACAGCACCAGAGATAAATTAATTACTTCACCACTCATCTGTCAGTTTGTCATACACAATGTGGTGGCTTGCATGTTGTTGTGATTCTTTACTAGTATTTTACATGCCATCAGGGACATCCCTGATAGACAAGTTTCAGCAGAGCTGCCAGATAAAAAGAAACTAGAAAAAAGGAGAGACAGACTACTTCCAAATATTTAGTCACTGAAAACCTTATGAATAACAGTGGAACACTGTCAGATAGCACCAGTATTGTCAGATATCGTTTCTCAAGTTGGAAGGCACTTAAAATACAACTAGAGAAGAGCTGCCCGTTCAAAGTAGAGTTGACCATGATGATGATGCAAATAAAGTAAAGCTTTCTGGGCCTTCATTTGCTGACAGGGCACAACTCAAAAAGAGAAGAAACAGCTGTAAGCATCCATTATTAGTAATAGGAACATGGAAGGTAACAAGTATGAATCTAGGAAAATTCGTAGCTGTCAAAAATGAAATGGAACACAAACATCGATATCCTAGACAATGTTGTTGTTGCTAAGTGAT